AAAACAAATGACCACTTTAACATGCTTCCCTGAGGTACCACAGACTTCCAGTACTGGTACAAAGTGAAGTGTTAGTAAATATGGACAAGAAGTCTAAGAAATCTGAAATTCAAAATATTATAGATGAGTTCTCACTACTATAATCAATGGTAGTTAGGAAAAAAGTCCCTCTTTAATACTTTTTGCTTGTTTCATGCAAACTCTATGTTTTTGCTAGAATGTTATCAGTTTTCTATGATTTTTTTCTTGTTTTCATAAAAAATCTTTTTCAGAGTAATGTTTTTCCTTTCTGTGCTCTGGATGATGATCCCTTTCACTTTCTGGGCTGAAGAATGTAGGTCTTCCCCTATTTCCTTCTCCATTCAAAATTTAAAAAAATTCAATTTTATTGTTTATGCTATTACAGTCGTCCTAATTTTTCCCCATTTCCCCCCTCCAACTAGACCCCCCACTCCCTCAGGCAGTCCCTGCACTGTTGTCCCTGTCCGCGGATCATGCATATATGTCCTTTGGCTACTATATTCCCTATGCTGTACTTTACATCACCATGACTATTCTGTAGCTACCTATTTGTACTTCTTAATCCCTTCATTTTTTTTTCCCCATTGTCCCCAACCCCATCCCATCTGGCAACCATCAGAATATTCTCTTTATCTATGAATCTGTTTCTCTTCTGCTTGCTTATTTATTTTTTTAGGTTTAATTGTTGATAGGTGAGTATTTGTTGCCATTTTGTTGTTCATACTTTTATCTTCTTCTTAAAGAAGACCCATTAACATTTCATATAATTCTGGTTTAGTGGTGATGAACTCCTTTAGCTTTTTCTTGTCTGGAAAGATCTTTATCTGCCTTCAGAGTTTAAGTGATAGCTTTGTTGGGTAAAGTAATTTTGGTTGCAGGTCCTTGCTTTTCACTACTTTGAATACTTCTTGCCAGTCCCTTCTACTGTGCAAAGTTTCTTTTGAGAAATCAGCTGACAGTCTTATGGGCACTCCGTTGTAGGTAACTAACTGCTTTTCTCTTGCTGGTTTTAAGATTCTCTTTTTGTCTTTAACCTTTCACATTTTAACTATGATGTGTCTTGGTGTGTTTCTCTTTGGGTTCATCTTATTGAGGACTCTGTGCTTCCTGGACTTGTATGTCTATTTCCTTCACAGAGTTAGGTAAGTTTTTTGTCATTATTTTTTAAATAGGTTTTCAATTTCTTTCTCTCTCTCTTCCCCATCTGGCACCCCTATGATGTGAATGGTTGGTATGCCTGAAGTTGTCCCAGAGGCTCCGTACACTATCCTCATTTTTAAATTTTTTTCTCTTGCTGTTCTTTTTTAAAATTTTATTTTAATCATTGTTCAAATACAGTTTTCTCCTTTTTACTCCCAATCCCGCCCCCCTCCCGCCCCTCCCCACTTCCCTCCCATTGCCACCCTCCCCTTAGTTTTTGACCATGTGTCCTTTAAGTTTGTTCCCGTGAACCCTTCCCGATGTCCCCTGAAATTCCCTCTACTCTCCCCTTCTCTTGCTGTTCTGATTGGTTATTTTATGCTTCCTTATATTCCAAATCACTGACTTGATTCTTGGCTTCATTCACTTTACTGTTGATTTCCTGTAAATTGTTCTTTATTTCGATTAGTGTATCCTTTGTTCTGACTGCACATTTTTCATGCTGCTGAGGTCCTCACTAAGTTCACTGAGCATCTTTATAAGCAGTGTTGTGTTTTGAACTCTGCATCTAGTAGATTGCTTATCTTCATTTTGTTTAGTTCTTTTTTAGGAGTTTTGTTCTGTTCTTTCATTTGGGCCATGTTTCTTTGTCTCTTCATTTTGGAAGCCTCTTTGTATTTGTTTATAAGTATTACTGCTGCTATGTCCCCCAGTATTGATAAATTGGCCTAATGTACTCGGTATCCTGTAGGGTCCATTGGCACCATATCTCCTGTTACCCAAGCTGGGTACTCAAGGTATGCTCATCATGTGGGCTGTGTACATCCTCCTGTTATAGTTGAGACTTGATTGCTGCTGGTATGTCCAAGGTCAGCCACTGCCTGTCTTTTGTTCAGGGTCACACAGGATACAAGCTACAAAGCAATCTGCAGATGGCTGCTACTTGTTCTGGGCTTGGAGGTGCCTGGTGAGGCCAAACTGTGAACCAAAGCCAGCTGCTGCTTGTTTGATAGAACTCAGGAAAATTTGAAGCAAGGGCCAAGACAAGACACTTGTAGGGAAAGCCACTGGAAACAGCTTTGTTGGGCCTGAAAGTGGGTGGGGTTGGGCCTCAGGAAATCACCAGGGTGTGGCAAACAGTGTGATCCAGGCTGATGGAGTCTCAGATATGGAGACTGGGGGCTCTGTGGGGGGAGGGCTCAGAAAAGGAACAATGGCTTCTTCCAGCACTTCTTCTGGGAGGAAGCTGCACCCCAACTCTTGCACCGATGCCAGACAATTCGATTCCTCCCCATATGTCTCTGATGCCTTTCAGTCTGCTGCCCTGCACTGGAGCTCAGAGGGGGTGAGTCCAAGTAAGTCTGTGCACAGGCCCTTTAAGAGGAACTGCCTGAGAGAGTTAAGTACAGAGTCTTTACTTAAATCCTAGAGGTTCCTGTCTTCCATAATCTTAATCCCTGCTGGTTTTTATAGCCAGAAGTTATGGAGACTTTTTTTCTGGCACTGGAATCCTGGGAAGGAGGGTCCCGGTATGGGGATGGGACCCCTTGCTGCTGAGATATCCCTCCTGATTTTAATCTACCAAGTGTGGGTGTGGGGCCAGCACATTCTGTTTTTCCACCCCTCCTTCTAGTCTCAGTGTGGTTTCCTCTTTAATTCCATAGTTGTAGGACTTCCATCAGCTAAATTTTTGGTGGTTCTGAAAGATATTTATTTTATATTTTAGTTATAATTGTGATGTGGTTGTGTGAGGAGGCAAATTGGGTTTCCTATTCCCATTTTTTTGAGGGAGGGACTGTACCTACCTATGGTACATATTAACAGAAGAGACTGTTTCACATCCAATATTTTGCCACATGTGTGCTGGGCAAATGCTTAATTTTAGACTGATCATAGGATAGCAAGTTTGATGTGCACAGCTCCTACTGTAATTCCTAGTGTTTCCCAGGGTCTAAAATAGCAGAGCTGCTGATATGATACAGCACATTCTCCTATCCACAGTACCTGGCTCTATGAATCCTGAAGAGATGAGTACCCAAAACTAAAAATCATCAGAATGCAAAACTCATTTCTCATCTCTGCATCTTACAGTATAGACCTTAGGTACTATGTATCATTCTCAGTATCAAATCCTGTCCATTTTTTTCAATTGCTTTTGGGGGTTAATAGTTTCCAGATGAGAGTATAAAAGGAGGTACTGCTAGAGGTAGGCAGTGGTGGGTATGAATTGCACTGTGGCTACTCACAATGGGCAGAGGAAGGTGGCTGCCAAGGTGACAGTGAGGAAGAAGAGAAAAGTTTTCATGCTTCTAGGTGGGAAGACTTACATAGTTAAGGTGGACCATCAACCGTGCTTTTTAATCTGGTTTCATCAGACATGCAGATAATATAAGTTGTTTTTAGACTCTAGCAACAGGAAGATTGTCAGAGTTTTCAGAGTTATAAATTTCTTTTTAATGTACATTTATGGATACTTTAATGAAGAGTGAAAGTTCTGTATATTGAGCTGGTAGTCAGATGCCATTTTAAAGTGAAATCTTGAATGAATTTGAAAGTCATACAGCAAAAAGCAAAGAGAAATGTGAATTATTCAAAAACATATAAGGAAATTAAAAGAATTTTGGAGGAACAAAGATGTTCACATTATAACATAATCTGACAAAACAGTATCTTAGAAAGATTTGTTAAGGTTAAGTAGTTCACTGAAGAGCCAAATGGAAGCAACATCATCATTCCCTCTGCCACAAACAATTTTATTTAATTAGCAAGTATCATAGCTCTTGAAACTAACATGGAGGGAGGTAATATAAATTAGTTTTTCTCCCTAAAAATACGGCAATTACTTAATTGAGAAGAAAGTGATTTCTAATTTAGAATAGCAATGTATTTAGGTTGATTTTTCTGTATGCAACACAATGCCACTTTAAATTTTCTTGAAGTTTAAATTCCTTATACACTGATCAGTTTCATGCTTATTAGGCACTAAGGCCACTTTTAGCCAATGAGGAAGATATCTCAGTGTGTATCAGCAAAAGGCAATCCCTCTGGGCAGGTATTCATAGACTTCTCAAGCTGTATTTCAGCCCCCTACTGACTCCCTTGATTCAGGCACCTTTGTGCAGTGCATGCACTACACTTCTGTACACAGTGAACCTCTCTCACATATTGAAGAACACAAGATTTCAAAGTCAAGAAGAAAAAAACCCCTTCAGGATCATTAAATTAAAGTCATATTATTTTTAAGATTATAAACTTAATTTTCAGCCTGTGTATAATTTATGTGACATTATTAAGGCAGAAAAGTATTTGTGCAGTCAAACCACTGCCACAAAACATGTAAGGAAAGTCCCAGAATGTCAGGTACATAGATAGATGTGTGAGGATTGCCATTTAGCTCACAGGCCTTTGTACCTTTCCCTCTCACTGGCTCCCTGGGGCATTGAGAGAACAAACCTAGGTGTAACTCGTGCAGCAAATAAAATCATAATAACCCTGATGGGGATTGGTCTTATCTGAAAACTTAAAGATTATATAGCCATTTTAGAAGATCAAACCATTTTATGACAAATAGAGGTTATTGTAGTATACTTAAATCATGCTGTTCATATTTTGGAAGGTCTGCTAATCTGCAGAGAATGTATGTTTACATTAGACTATGAAGTAAAAAAATTATAATTACAAATATTTAAAAGAATATACATAAGATATATACTTTTGAATGATTACTCTTTTAAAAAAACGGTTAATATAACCAATTGTAGGGCTTTTCAAAGCAACAGACTTTTGTTGATGTTAAAAGCTATAAAGTGCAAAGAAAATTTAAAAATACATATACTCACTGAATTGGCATTTGTTGGGTTTGGCCAAGGTCTACCACCACCTGGACCCCTATAAGACATTATGATAAATGAATTTTAACTTCTGCTTTGAATGTTTCACAATAAGCAGTAAGAAATCATAAAATATTAACATTCATAATGCAGTTACCATGAAGTTCTGTTCAATAATGAAATTACTCTTTATACTTATTTTCACAGCTTTTTAATTCTTAAATGAAAAACATCATTTCACAAAGCAATTTTCTTTCCAAATAAAACTATTTTTAATAAGCGCAGTTTAAGTTTTATATTAAGTTCAGTTACTGTGATAACCACTAAAAGTTGTAATCACCTATAACAAATACATATATAAAAATCATTATAAAAACACACTATTGGAGGAAATTATGAAATAAATACTATAAAGTATAATCTTGTTACATAAGTGTCCACTGAATCTCACTCAAAATAAAATTATTTGTAAAATATCTAATATCTAAAAGTGATTGCTCTAAAAGGTATATAAATTTGCCCTCTTTTTGAAAAATCTCAGACTGTCACACATTACATTATACATTTATATATCAGTCTACCTTTCAGTACTCTTGACTATTTATTAAACAAGGGAATCATAGTTCTTACAAATCTTGGGAAAAATAGGAGGTACCTTACATCAATGTATGTCAATATATTACTTAGTTTTAGGGTAAAGGAGAATGATTTATATTCCACTGCTTAAAAATCAATGCCTAATTAAGTCAGAAAGGTCCCTTGTCTTCATGTTTAGTATTAAGTATACCTGAATAAATATTGCCTGGTAAAGAGCAGACTGCTTTCAGCCAGTTCTCCATAACTAGGGTCACTCAAAATTTCCCTTTCCCTCTAACTGCAGTGAACATTTTTAACTAATAAAAGTCCCCTTGTTCTTATTGTAGGGATCTTAAACCTAAAGTTCTAAATATTAGATAGAGGCTGCCCAAGTTAGCTATATTACCCATATTTACTTGAAATATTTAGAACTGTTTTGTTTTGTTTTGGGATTCTTTGAAAACATAAATAGGAAATGGCATGAAAATTCTGTCCTTGGTCTCTATTAGGATGCCCAAGTGCAACTGTTCCCAATTCTGCTTGGGGAAGAGAAGGGGGAAATAGGATACCAGAGGGGACTGGGTCAAAATGTTGTGCACAGGGAGAAGGAGAGGAGCACTTGTATTGATTGTCTCTGGAGATTGTTGCTTCTCTAAGATGATGATCGTGGTGATGATGATGATGATGATGATGATGATGATGATGATGATTTTACAATTAATTATTGGGACACTTTAGAAGGATGATTTTACATATAGAATTCAATGCCCTAATGACAGAAACTGAGGTAAAACATAGAATATATGTTAATCAGGTAAAACATCTGATTTGTTTGATGTTAAATAAAATACAGTAAAAAAATTGAGAATATCTATCTTAAAACAACATAAAAATACTATACCCAAATAATGGCAAAAAATGTATACAATTATGTTATACATTATGTTTGAATAAAAACTATGAATAAGATGCATTAAATATATTTTATTTATTTTAAAATTTGTTAAATGTTACACTAACATGCTAAATTAAATGTTAAACATTTTACTTAATTTAATATACAATTAAATAACATTAAATTAAATGTTAAATTTATTATAAGTAACAAATACTTTTTATGCATTACAATTATTTGACAAATACTAATCTAATCTTGGTACACTATATATTTCACATTAAATTGCATTTTAATATAACTGGTTAAGTATTCATTTGGATAAGCTAAAATTCCCCAACTTTACCATTGTGTTTGAAAACATTTAGTTTCACAAAAGTGCTAAATAAAATGCGAGTTATAGTAGTGAGCAGTTTTATTAGAATAACTACCAGTGTCTTAGTAATTCCCACCACTTTTGAGGACCATCAGCATCATCGAGGAAATAATCTATGAACTATAACATAGGCATTGTTTTGAATAAAAATTTCTATATAAGTATAGATGGAAGGAGGATAAAGGTTAGCCTAATTTGAAAATAAAGAGAAAATGGAGTTTAAAAGTATATTTTTGGGGTACCAATATATGGACATGATGGAATTAAAGTAACCATGATTACCATGGAGCAAAATCCTCTTTTCTTCTGTAATACGCCATTGTTTTATTTCCAGATAATAACTAAATGAAATTTATAATTCTGTAAGATATGATCTAGAACATATCTTTGTCCTTAGTTTCCATAAAATACCAAAGTATACAACATCCCATTAGAAGTGCTTTAATACTGAATTCTAAATTCTTTGAAAATTTGTAAAAATATAGTTAATTTAGAAATATACTTTCATTTCAAAGCAATCTATAATGCATTTGAAAACATTTACATTGTGGCTGTGGTTTGTAAATTCTACTTTAAATTACTGAGATTGACATTAAGTTTTTACTTCTAAAGATATACTAATTATAGAAACAATAAAAGTATATGTCATTTAATTTTAGATGATATTATATATAATTTATCCTGAGTTTAGAGCATAAAGTGTAAAAATTATATCAGAATAGCCATTTTTTGGAGGCAACCAATATTTAACAACACAATTATTGAAATTCTATCCCAAATGGTTTATTCTTCAATAAAGAGATAAAGTTGATAGTTAAAATACAGTATTTAATTAATTTGGTGACCAGGGGTTTGGTATTTTTCCATTGTCATTAAACTTTCATGGCAAATGAGAAGTGATAAGCTAAAGAAAACTCATTCAGATAATGATTCTCTGGCAGGTCCCTCCTGACTCAACACTCAAGTATCTTACTTAGACTCTTAAAAATGTAGCTAAAGCTATTACTATTATAATGCCATTTCCTTTAATTTTTAAGTTACATAACATGTAAAAAGTGACATGAAGAAAACCACAAATACCAGTTGGAAATACTTATTTATCATAACACAGTAAGAATTACTTTGTTTTAAAGATAATAAATAAATTTCAGTAACATTTACTCTATTGAGTACAATGGAAATAATCATAAGGACTTTTTTTAAATGTCTCTTTAAATTCACTTTTGCTTTGTTGGGGTCAGTATCAATACAAAAATTATTCTCACTGGTTTGATTTTCCATACATCAAAACTTTCTCTGCTAGAGGGACATACAAGGTCTGTCTGGGAAAAGTCCAGCTGTTGTTAATATAATGAGAATGGTTTGTACAACATCAATATAACCTGGAAGCCAAGGAGAGTGGACTGGAATGTGCATCTGTGAACAATAATGACTTCATTGTACTAGTCAACCCGGGTGGTAGACCCTATTGAATGAGCATGTGTACTGTGTGGCTATTGCATTCAAAATGACTGAGCGAGTAGAGCAACAATTCTGCATCCAACTTTATATTAAGCTTGAAAATTTCCCACCAGAAACTATTGGGATGATTTAGAAGTCAGTACCTATGGGCAACTGGTGATCTGCAGCTTTCACAACAATGTGCCCACTTACACATCACTTCCCATGCAGAGTTTCTGGTGAAACATCTAATCACCCAGGTGACTCAGCCCCCCTACAGCCCAGATTTGGTGCCGTGCCACTTCTGGCTTTTTCCAAATCTAAAATCATCTTTGAAAGGAAAGAGATTTCAGACCATCAATGAGATTCAGTATAATATGATGGGGCAGCTGATGGTGATTAGGAGAACTGTGTGAGGTCCCAAGGTGCCTACTTTGAAGGGGACAGAGGCATCATTGTACTATGTGCAATGTTCTTTGTATCTTATATCTTTTTCAATAAATGTCACTATTTTTCATAGTATGTATCTGAATACTTTATGGACAGACCTCATATTTACAACTGTAAATGTGGACATATTTACATTTTCATTGCCCTTGAAGAAATCCTAATTTACAGAAAACAGAAGGTAATATTTAAGACCCCAAACAAAAGTCAATATTAACAAAGAAAATCTGAATCTATAAAACTTAAAGATTCTTTAAATGCCAGATATTATATAAGTAGTAAAATATTACATAATAAAAATATTTCAAAGTATCTTGGATATTTAAATGAGAAACCCAAATTTAAATAAACAAAAATAATTGTATTACAATTTTTAGCCCTATTTTTATTCTCCATAATCTGGGGAATTAAATATACCCATATATATCTATTTAAGTACATGTAATAAAGGAACTAGACAATTTAAGTAGATATTTGGTCTCATGATTGTATGTGTGTTTGTTTAGTTATAAGAAGAGTAATATATAAATGGCTATTAAATACATTCTTGATATTTAATTATAATTCTGGGTTGATTGTGATATTCAAAATATACATTCCTTACATGCATACATAGTATTCAAATTATTTACCTTGAAAACTGTTGGATTTTAAAGTCAGAATTTACCTATCTCAGGTAGGTAAATTTTATGTACATATCTAAATCCTACTGAAGCTCCTACTAGTAAGAGCTTCAGCTTTGATATTAGCACAAAATTTCACTAACTCCTTTTTGTAGCAACCATTAATAAAGGCTAAGCCTTTGAGGAATGCAAGAAAAGTTAGACTTCATGTCTATCCATTTTTACTTTGAAAGTGAAAAGATGTTACAGGAAAATTTGACCTACTTTTTTCCCCTTGTTCTGTTAGTTTTCAGTCTGGCTGATACCCACCTATTAACCTATTTTCTATTTTAGGCAAAATTGCTTTTCATGAAAATCCCTGTGTACATCATAAGAGCTTATCTCACAGTCTATCTTCAATGCCATTAAATGGTGTGGAGTTGCTCAATTTGATATGTAAGTGACCAAACCATGGATGGATGGGACACAGATTAGAAGACTACCCACAACCCTACATGCAGCACTGTCAGGCTTTCTTCAACCCCCTAGTCAATTAATCAAACTCAGTAACAAGCACCTGGTAGGGAACTTTGAGGGCAAGTTAGATGATAAAAATAAATAAAAATTCCTTAACAAACTGCCTTATATTGGCCAACAGAAACAACCTACTGTCTTTGGGCTTGAAAAGCCTTTCCAGAAAAAAACAATCAAATAAACAAATGAACAACCCCCTCCCAAACACTTCATTTATTCCTTATCTAAGTGCATCTTGAATTTTCAAAAGGAAATTCATCCTATACCATGGGAGTTCTTTAATATAGATGACACTATCTGGGAGAATGTTTCCTGTGTTGAGAGTGAGCCCAACAAAGCAAAAGTAAAGACACATATATGAGCTAAAAAATGCCATTCTTAGGAATCACTAGGTACCTATCAAAAGAGTATTACCAGTATTCAATTGTTCACTTCTGTACACTTAAGCCATGGTGCTGGTGTCAGTATTCTTTATGCTTAAAAAACCTCATTTTTATGATAATTGAATAAAATATAAAGGTAAAAAATAAACAGGTTAAAAGTTGACATTTATGGCATCTGAATATGGGAAAAAAAAGGTTGAAGGGAAGGAAGAAAAACATAGAGAATATCTTCTGGAAACGAAGCAAACGCTACAGCTCATGTTTAGTCCATTTGTACACTACCCAGAAATTGAGAGGCTCAAATTGTTTTACAGATTTAGTGTGACTTTTGAAAACGTAAATTAAAGCACTTTACTAAACAGGATAATATGGCATTTTGCTTACATGTTCATTCCAGGCATTCCAGGGCCACCTAAAGCATTCAGTGGGGGTCTCATTGCACCTCCATAGTTCTGTAATGATAACCAAGGGTCAGACTACCACAAAACAAAAAAACAAAACCAAAGAGGAGGGGGGAAAGAAAGGAGAGCAGGTTAATGATTTCCCTACATAACTCCTGGCTGGATAAGGCCTGTGCAATTCATTCTCTGAAGGGTCCACTCTTGTACTTTTGCTTCTATTTCAACAATTACTTTGGTTTGTGTCTTTTAAAAACTATGTGAATATGTAAGATCATTGTAACATGTTAAATAATTAAGATATAGTTGCGATGATATTTAATATATTTTTATTAATTTCCTAAGAGCTGTACAACAGTGAACTTTTAAAAATACAACATTTCATAAAATAAAAACTTTTTAAAGCAAAAACTTAGTCAACATGTTTATAATTGTCAGACCCAGAACAATTACATAAAGTCTAAAAAAACCCCAGGTGAACCCAATATAAGAAAGTTGAATGCAAACTTCTGTTCACAAAATAATTTATCGAACACAGAAATTCACTAATACAAATGTACAAAAATACATGAAACCTAAAGTAAACTCAGAATATGTATGCATAAATTACATGATTCAATAGGGTTCTGTCAATATCTAGTACGTACATTCCAAAGATAAAAAATATTTTAATGTTTTAACATGCATATCATATTAGCTTACTTTAGTTTCCTTAGGAGCCAAAAGATTAAAATTCACATTATAATGCTGATATATTTTGTCATGATCGACCACTTTCATGTGGCTTTCTGACACTGCCAGTCCTTCAAGCTTTTCTGACTATCTCCTTTTTCCTTGCTGGCTCCTTTTATTCTGCTAACTCTTTAAATGGTGCTTTTCATAATGTTCTAGAATGTTCAGCATTCTTTGAATATTCTAAGAATAATAATTCTTATTATTTCAATAAATGCACATTTATGGGTAATTTCATCTGCTACCATTAGTTCAACAACTATTTATGTTAGAATCCCAAATCTTTTATATTTTGTCATGATAGATCTCCTAAGCTCCTACATAACTCGTATGTTAAACTTCACATGAATTGTTACCACTTTATGCTCAACATAACTAAAAGTAAACTGATTATTATCTTCTCATGACTGTTCTTTATATTGCCTTCCTTGGTCTGTGGTACGACCTCCGCACAACAGTCCAGGCTAAGACTCTCCAGGAGCTTTGCTGTCTTTTCCTTTTCTTTCATTTCCTATCTCCAGTGATTTACCAAAAAGCCTACCAATTCTACCTGTGAAACAGCTCTTGAAGTAGTGCCCTCCTTCATGTCACTACTAATTGTCATTTACTGAGGCTACTCTACTGTCTTAATTGGTCTCTCTGACTCAGCCTCTCCCCCTCCCAACCTGTTCTCCACACTGCCCTCCAGAACTGTGCTCCGAAATCTTAGTCTTTAAGTCACAGAGAAGCTATGAAGACCCACGGTGCCTATCCAATAAAGATCAGACTCCTCAGCACGGCTCTATGAGGTTATTCCCAAGTCAGTCCAGCCTATATTTCCTGCCCTCATTTCCTATAATTCTTACTGTCTTCCCCTTATTCTAATTATATCATACAACCTACCAAATTCATCTTGTGGTTAAGAGACAAGCAATACAAATTTGCACTCATGTTAACTCATGTTCTGTGGCCTTCTGTGTAGGTACTAAGATGACAAGGAGACATTCAATGAGAGAAAGTCTGTTAACTCCAGAGAGTAAGTCCCAGTTTATAAATAGATTACATAGTTACATGATTTTCTCATTGTTTATTTCTTTTGCTTTCAGGAAATCTTATTTAAACATCCTGATTCTATGTGCTGTGGGATAGTAGAATGGTTTATGTCTACACTTGAGTCATTGATTAAAGACATAGCTGTGTCCTTAATCTCTGGATCAAGGATGATGGAGGAGCAAGGAGTCCCTGAGAAGAAAGTCATTGGGAACAAAATCTGAGTGGTAAAGTGTAACAGAAATGCTTCACGAGAAAAGTCTCCCCTCAGCTTTGGTCTTCGAAGATCAGCGTTTTATATTATCAAGGAAAACATTAGTTTTCCTTCTAGCTCTGGACACAGAAAGACACTGGTTTGAATCTCTGTTGCCACTGCCCCCATTTCCTCTGGTCCTCTTCCTATACATATGATCCTGGACCAGCCATTGTCCCAATGATCCGCTCAGCCTTAATTTCCTTATTTGTAAAGTAGTTTCCTTATATGTATCTTTTCCCCTATTAGCATGCTGGAGAATGAAATGAAATCATATAAAACGCCTATGACAGTGCTTGGCGTATTAAAAGCATGATACCTGGTGCCCAACAATTATAGCTGCTAACTCTTTCTTGTCACCATTAAGGGACCAACTTTAAATGAGTTCTCTCCTCATCAGCTTCCCTTGAGCTCTGGATCCTAGCAGAGTTACTTTGCTTGTTTGTGCAATGACTCCCTGACAGAGTATGCATATTTCTTTTCTAGATTTTTTTCCACCGCATAATAGTTTCCTTTATGTTTCTGCACCTCCTGCTAAATAATGAGTACCTTGAAGGCAGAGTCTGTTTTACTCCTTTTGTATCCCCGTTATCAAGTATCACAGAAAATGAGTAAGAAATTATCCAATATATAATTTGATAAATTTAAAAATATTTACATTTAGCAAATAATCTGAAGTGAAAATAAAATAGGAATATAAGAAAGAATAACAACTGGCTTGCCAAGTGGTGTCAACACAGGCAGAGAGAAAGAGCTAATTTAGAATCACTGAATTCTAAACCTGATGGCAGCTACACAGTTCCATCTGTTTAATCTCACTCCCAATGAAATGTTCCTGACAAAATGGCTCTTCAGATTCTGCTTGAAAAGTTCATAAAGAGTTTTTCCATGATTGGGCAGTTTAATTCCTAGAAATTTTTTCCTTATCCTGAACTGAATTCTCCCCCCCCATCTTATATATGAAAATACAGAAATCAGTTTACTCTCTTCCTACATGAGAGCCCGTCACGTATTTCCACCTCACCATTTTTCCACCTCAACCATCCGATTTGGAAATTATGGTATGATTTCACTTGTACATAACTCATTTATCCTTAAGCTTTCTAGAAGAACTAGAAATGGTTGGGTGGTCCTGGTGAATTTTTCTGTTAATCATATGGCACCCGCTGAGCAAAAGAACACAGATAAGCTAAGTACATTTTAGCACAAAAGCAAGAGGAAAAACAACTTCAAATTTGGTATTAGGAAGATACTTTTCTCGATTACATAGATAATTTTGTTTTTCTATTGAAAAAGTAATATCAATTTCAAAAATCATGTATTGCCATTGTATTTATAATTAAAACAGATTAATAGGTTGGGAAAATATGCTAGGATTTAGAGCAAACTTGTATTTCTTCATCCATGCAATAAGTATTAATCATGCTTACTATGTTCTAGGGGTGAACTTTGCCTAAATTGGCATTATCTAAGAATCTCTAGACAATATATATTTCTTTGTTCTAGTAATTAAATTTTTCCAATAGATAACAACTGTGCCTCTTCACCACATTGATCTTAAGTTAAAAAAAATGAAATAACATCTGTGATAAGAACAAGATGTGTATTTTGTTTGTGCATAAAGCTGGAGACAACATTCCAGAGGCTGCTTCCATAATCCAACCACACAAAAGCAGGTGCATTCTGCTCTGAGGTGGTATCTGTGTGACTGTCTGTTGTGAAAGTTGTTTTTCTGTTTTCTTTCAAGAAACACAGCTAACCTTTACTACAAATTTCACAGTTTATAATACCTATGTCTTAAATACCAGGTGTTATAAGTAAATATCTCACAAAAATTTCCCCATTCTAAATAATTTTAACCTCATCTGCTACCTACTGTGTTATTCATGTGATTCCTGTCTTCATTTAAGTACATGATACGTATGAATACTTTCTTTAGCCTTTAATATTTATATACTGTGATTTTACTGAGGGTAGGTATTCCTGGTTTCTGAGGTAAGTTCACACAAACAAACTTTACTTCCCTCAAAATATGTAGAAATAGAGAGCAAGGATTCCAGTCCAAATGGAAGAACAGACTACTCACTTTGGGTTTCAATATGTGAAGAAAGAATTCACACTTGCATGAGCAGCTTAGCTATTAAAACTCATCAGTAAGAGATTAGTCTCCAGAAATATGTTATCTTACTTTGTGTTTTTTTTTTTACTTATAATGCAAAACAAACATACAGCTATTTATAAAACAAAATGGACCAGTACACTTTTTTTCTTTCAAATAAAATCTAAGTGTTACAATTTAGGTAAGCATTGGTATACTTTTCATACACTACAAAACTGACTCTTAAATCAGGCTCTAGTTTTTAAAGTATTAAATGTATTGGTCTAGGAATGACAAAAGCTTAAAGAGCAGCTACTTGAAAAATAAGTGAACTAAATGAAGACTAATAAAATTATAGACATGAGGTTTTGATGTATCTTTAAAATACATCTATTATGAAAATCTTTTGGAATAAAAGCCTTCAAGTTCTGTGTAGTCAAATCACTCAGCTATGTTCATTAAATATTTGGTTTATTAAAGACTTTTGTGTATTCAATCAATGAAATATTCTATAGATATTAATACTCTAGGTAATAATTAAAATAGATATTAATGTATGAATATTAATTAATATAGATATTAATAGCTTACTGATGGTTGGTCACATAAATTAATAACCCTAATATGAGTAGAAACAAGGAAAAGTAATTTAAATATCTAAATCAGAGTTTTATAAGATGTTAAGAAAATACATAGGAAAAGACTGACCCTAAATGAAAGAGAAAATTTTTTCTGACTTTGAGGATCTCACATGTATTTATATAGTGGGTTTTTCCCAAGTAATATGGTATTTCTGAAAAATTAGGTAATATGTACTTCATATTTCAATACAGTTAATATATACATTATTGTATGTTGTTTAGAAACTCCTAGGTCTAAGCCTCATTATCTAGGTGTTAGATTCTAATTCTCAGACTTCTTTGGGCACACAACAAAATATTAATTTAAGTTTTTGAAAGCAGATACATGAGATAAGCTCCTAAAGCTGTCACTTACAATGCTATTCTTGGAAAGGAAAAATAAAATCAGTAATTCATCCCTTTAACCAGTGTTATGACATACTACCCTCTGACTCATGAGGTAGAAATGTTAAATTCTGGATTTTGGATTAGTTTCTTTAAAACATAACACTACAAAGTTAACTTCTACCCCATGCTGTTTTCCAAAGGGAGATAAAAATGATGTTTTGTTAATGTAAATGATATCCTGGAAAAGCATACCTAAAAAACATCATCCATAGCTGGGACAGATTTGACCTCGATGTGTGCTTCAGGGAAATGTTGATAAAGAAATAGGTAGGCTAACATCTAATGTATACTGAGAGCATTATGCTTGTTCAGCAAGACCAATTTTTAATGGTTGTTTTCTGAATAATTAATTATTTTCATATTATATAAAGAAATATGGTATTATAAAATAAATTGTCAGTGATATTCTCTAAAAAACTTACAGAAATGTATTTTATGCTGCTTATTCTATTTAATATTTTTAATTAACTGGATTTTACTTAACTTATTTAATTTACATAGTTGTTATCTTTTTCTATACATTTTATAATTTCTTCAACATCACTAACAAAACGGCAATAGTAATCTCTTCATAATAATCACTCCGATGTATTTTCTCAAATGCACTGAATGCGCATGTGACAACACTTGTCTGTAATGTTTGCAGTTGCATCAATCTGGACACCTCACAGATCACGTTCTCAGGAGCTGACCAACATATTACAGCAAGTGTTGAATGCATGTAACAAAGGCCAGGAAATAACATAGTCTGTTTAAAACTCAGCAGCTACTTTTTGCACTGATTATTTACCTGTGGTCCTAAGGGCACCATTCCTCTGGGAGGAGTCATTCTCTGCATTGGCCCGCCCATGTTTGGATGTCCTAAGGTAAAAGCATAAAGGTGTTAGCTATGTAATGAGCATGGGTGCTAACCCAGTGGCTAGTAGTCTCCCTCTGCTTGGTGTTTAATCATTGTTTCTTATGTTATCACTACCATGCATAATTAAGAGTTAGCTAAAATAAATCAATTGGTCATGCTATAATTTGGTATAATTATACCAGAAGTGCAATTGGTATAATTATGAAATTTTTATTCAAATAACAATTTCCTTTAAAAATAAAGGATTTCCTTTAGGATTGTGCACATCTATTTCACTTTTACATTAAACTATTACCTTGTTGTCGAGTTGGGTCCATTCCACTGGGAAGTAAAGGCTGACTTCCTGGGACACCTCCTAGTGCCTGGCATATTTAGTTAAACAAAATAAAAAGCAATATTGTAAATATTTATAAAATAAGTGCTTTAACAATTCTCTTTTAAAATTCCTATAATTACAGGACACATTTGCTTATTTTACAGAATTTGTTATATTTCACATATTTTTCAATTCATTTATAAATTTAATAGGTGTATATACCTAGTATAAGTTCTTAGTTCTAAAATTATTCCATTTTGTCCAATTTTTTGGCAGATAAAATAAGTATTTTGGGGGAACAAATATCTAGGCAAAAAATTGTCCTACATCTTTTTAATAAGTATGCCTTTGCTCCAAATTAATTTACTAAAGGTACTGAGATAAGTAATTTTGCTTCTTAAATATGAGCTCTGTTTCTACAGATTATTTTACTCATTTGGGAGCAACATTACTAAAATGCCAAGGGGCCAATCATTATTTTTTTTGTAGTCACATTCTCCATAAGAAACTATTTTGAAAAATAATCCTCCAATTAAGTTCAAACAAGTTGGCTGTATCAAAACTAACTAGAGCTAAAAAAGATGGAGATTAACAGGCTATTGATGTGGGGGGTGATACTGGGTACATAGCGAACTGCAAGTTTATGTAGTTGTCTGAGCAGCTCTTACAACCCATTGATATTATGAACTATATATGTATACACACACATAACCCTAACAATGGGCAAAAATTAATAAAGATTCATTAATTTGACTTAAAGCAGGATAAATCTTGTCCAATTAGTTAAAAATTTCAAATATTTCAAAAGAAATTTAAAGAATTTATATATCTAGATCAAAACAATGTACTTAATCACTTGAGATGCAGTAGAGAGCTGCCATTTCTCAAGCCATTTTTATAATCATTTGAATTTTTTTTGCTTACAAGCACACCCAATACATATTTATTGAATTTCTACTTACCTTTCCAGCCTCATTTCTTGCCATTGCCACATGACATTCTAATTTCTAGCCATACAAAATTTCTTTCAGTTTTTTCAATTGATGCATTCAATCAAATATAATATCTAATTGCCAACCATTAAATACAAAACAAAATAAAAACTATAAATCAAACTCTCTCTCCTTTCAAGAAGCTCACAGAAACCTAAGTGCCTATTGCTGACACTGCCTAATAAAATGCTTTCCTATGAACCCAGTCTTGGGCAAGTTTTCCTTCTATTTGCTTTAAAACATGTGTAATTTTTTAAAGTTCAAACTTACAGAAAAATTGTACAAACACCACAAAGAATCCCCATATACTCTGACACAGATTGCCCATCTGTTAACATTTCACCACAGTCACTCCGTCACCCTTTCTCCCTCCTTCTCTGTAGGTAATTTCATCCTAACTTTTTTCAGAACCACTTGAGAGCCAGTTGCAGACATGATACCTCCATTACCCCTACGTACTGCACAATGCAGTTCCCTAAACAAGGATGTTCTCCTATATAACCACAAAACAACTGCTTAAGACAGAAAATCCACAGTGGCGCAACACTGTCATCCGGCCACAGACCTCATTTACATTTTGCAATTTGTCTCAAAAATGTTCCTTTTTTCTTTCTGGGACCAGGACCTCAATAAACACATGTTGCATTTCGTTGTCATGTTTCTTCATGCACTTCCAAGCAGTAACAATTCCTTAGCCTTTCCCTATCATGTTCTCAGCAGTTTTAAAGAGAATGAACGTTGAAATCTATAGGATGATCTGATGCCTCTTCATGCCTAGGCTAAAGTAAAATTTCCTTATCAGGAAACCACGGAAATGGTGCTATGCTCTCTTCAGTGATTATGTTAGAGGGGACTTGATATTGAGTCATTCCACTATTGATGACCTTGACTTTTATCATCCGATTGTGTTGGTGCCTGACAGGTCTCTATACCATAACGTCATTACGTTTCCCCCTTGTAAATGATTATTTTTAGTATTATAGCTATTCTAAGATTGTCAATACCTCACTCCTCATCATTTGTTTATCAACCCACCACCCTTAGCATCTACTGACAACTCCTAAACACTATGATAGTTGCCAGATGGATTTGTTCTAGATTTATAAGTTGGTATTCCAACTGTAAAGAGGAGCTTTCCTTTTTTTGCTTGCTTGCTTATTATTTATTTATTTATTTATTTAATGCTTATGGGTTCCTAGCATATTTAATGGGTTGTAATCTATTATCATTATTTACTTTAATATTCACAAAGGTCCATCATATTTTGAGTATTTCTTTACAAGCAAAAGATGTTCCAGGCTCATCTCATAATTTTTCTGGCCTACCTCTGGAATTAATCTTTTCTCCATTTTGCTCTGATTCCTTCTAGAGCATAACAGTATGTAAGCAACAAGATTTGGATTTTCAAGAGCGTGCATTATTAGTTGGGTGCATTGCTTTTAGACCCTCTTGGTAGGTGCTGAGCTCAAAAATCTAAATATGCATGTGTATATGCACATATATCTACATTGATGACTAATATCCTCCCTCTCTCGTACAGTACCAGAATCTATACTCTCCAACACTGATTCAGCACCTCCAATACCAATCTACAAGTTTAGGATTATTTTCAGGCTTCTTCTTATGTTTCTTTCTATTTCCTCTGACAATGAGAAACCGGCTTTAATTACCTTCAATATTTTTTACTTATTTGCTTAATCAATGTAATTATTTGTTTAATATAATCTATCTCCCAACCAACAATGACCATTTGTTCTTTCTGCTCCCTTTGTGTGACTCCTCCCTGTGTCCCTGAATGTTTCAGCATGCAGGGAAGGAAAGATCCCATGCCTCACTTCCATAGGCCTTGTCTTCTTTGTATCTCCAACACACTATGAGCCCTGGGTGTGGACCTATCTGTGTCTCTTGGCTCAGAGTAATCAAATTTATTGAAGGAATAGGGTTTAGATGGGCAATTTTAGGAATCATCAGTGATAAATTCATAAGAATGGAATAGATTTCAAAGAGTGAAAAGAAAAAAACATCAAATATATAATTATTTAGAAATACCTAGAAGAGGTAGGAAGGGAACTGAAAGTGAATAGGTGTGAAATTAAGAGGGGAACTAAGACCAACATTTCAGAAAGCACAAAGAGAGTTTCAAAAAGGAAGAAGTGGTCAACTCCGTCAAAAGTTACAAAGATTCAAAACAAGCTGGACAGGAAAAGTCAAGAGCCATATGATTTCACTTACATGTGGTATATGAAACTGACAGCAACAAATGATCAGATAAGAAAAACAAAACCCTACAAACTCGTAGACACAGACAATGGTGTGGTGGTTACCAGAAGGAAGGGGGCTGGGGGAATGAAAGGTAAAAGGGGTCAAATATATCATGATGGAAGAAGATTCGACTTCAGGGAGTGACACACAATGTAATATGCAGATAATGTCACCCCAATCAACTTAATTTAAGAAGACATCCTTAGACACAAAGAAAAGTGAAGTAGGAGGAGGACTGAAAATATATGACTAATCAATATTTTCTTCAGTTGTGAGTTTGAAGTTCTTGTTTTTTAAAGTTTCCAAGTGGCTAGAGTTTTATACTCTGGACTTAGATTCTGAATTTCTAAGTCTCACTGGAGATATCATGTGTTATAACTGGAAAACATTTTCTTCAAAATTTTACTTTTTGTTGTTTACCTTGGCATATCAGAACAATTGACAAGTCTTTCCCTGTTTCTAGCCATCACTTAAAAATATAACGCAATCCTATAGAACTCTTGATCAATGTCAAGATTTATATAAATTTAACTCTTTAGGCCCCAGAGTTTGTCTTTTAGAATAAGCCAAATCTCTAAGTTTTAAAACACTTTTTATAAGTTCTGGGATGACCAACAAGGGCATCAACAAGGTCATAATTACTGCATTCTTTATACCTTTAATATGAGGGGAAAAGAAATTTATACACCATAACTTTTCATTATTTCATATTTTTAATAGGTTAAATGTACTCCATTCAGACTTGTTTAATAAAACACTTTGATATACATTCTTCATTCTATAAAAGATTACTCTGACAGAGAAAATAACACTCATGATGGGGGTGTTTAATAATCATAAGGATAATGTGAACGATAATATACACTTGTGAAACAATATACTTGTGCCATGAATTGTGCTAAGCTCTTTGTATTTGTTATTTCACTCAATGCTTACAATGGGACTATGAGGCTATCATTAATTCTTTTTGATTATGAGAAACTGAGGTTTAATACATAAATAACTTGTTAATTTGTCCATAGTTATACATTGGTAAGTTGCAAAGCCAGGGCTTCAGATCAGATCAATATAAGCCAAGAGTTCTAAAAGACAAGTTTTAAATTCTGGAATTTGAAGTGAATTAAATAATACAGTATTTTAATAAGACAAATAATTAAATGAAATAATTTCTTGCTTCATAAAAGTCTTATTTCTTTTAAAAGTATATGAAACCAATGTTAAATCCATGTAGGAACTTAAGATTCTGGTGATATACACCAGAATATTTCCTTGAATGTTGCTATACAGTCTACCCATAGAAACTAAATGCTCACCAATAATGAAAAAATTTATTAGTTTTTCAATGCTTTCATGATATAATTCAGGTAACAATTCTGATCTACCCCAAATTTTAATGGGCCTCCTCAATATGAAAGGAAGTAGAATGATAAAATAAAAGAAATTCAGGACTAGAAGGGATTTTGGAAATACCTGCATCCACTCTCATTTTACTGGGAAAAGCACGAAGGCCCAGAAAGAGGAAGGGACTCGCTCAAAGTCATGCGCTGCTGGGGTTGCGGGCCTTGGACCTAAGGTACTTAACGCAGTTAAGTTCCTTTTGACAACATCACTGTCCTTTTTTCTATAAAAATCCAGTAAAAATAGAAAAGACAGTAAAACACAGAAATGTTACATTCAGTGTAGGAAGAAATTTGTCTCCGAAGCACAACTCACCGTTTGATATATAGTTACCGATTTTCCTTTGTTCCATAGCTCAACCACTGTGACTGCACTGATACTGTAGCCCTGTGGCACATGTGGCTATTTAAGTTAATTAAAATTAATAAAGTTAACATTTTTGTTCCTCAGTCCTTCTCACCACGTTTTTGGTGTTCAAAGCACAATATTAAAGCTGCTGTACATGGCAGTGCCAACAGAGAATATTTCCATCCCCCAGAGCGTGGTGTTGGGCAGTGCTGAGTCAGATTGTCAGCCCAGTTTATGGTGCAGCTCCACATCTAGAATGGTGCCTGGCATGCAGTAAACCTCCACAGATGTTTGTTGGCTGACTGAATATTTTCTGAAGAAAATTTTTTACAGCTCTATGAAATGTCCAATCAAATATATGGCAGTGCATTTTTTGTACTGGCTTATTTCCAAACAGGGTATATTTGTGACAAAACAGCTTCAAAATAATTAGGTATGTTTGGGTGAAGGTAGTAAACACTGTACCTAAAAGCTCTGTATAACTATAACTTACATTGAGTAAGACCACATAGCATTAACTATGCAAACTTTTATTAGTTTGGGAAGGAGAATGAATTTTTTTGTTAGACATTGAATTTGTTAATTTTCTTTGTCCTACAGTAGTAGAAAGTAATTGGAAATACATGTATGCCAGGATATACATATAATTGAAATTCACAAAGAAATAATTTTGTTTCATTAGATTTCACATAATTTAAATACATTGATAGTGTAATTATCCCTAAGAAACAAATAAATAAGGAGGTCCCAATGGATAGAAAGGAGTATTTTTGACTGGCAAAGAAAGCTACTTTATGTTTTAATCATTAACCACTAACTTATATTAAACACATGCAACATATTTAATTTTGAAAGTTAGACATTTGTTATAGTTATCCTTCTTACAACTGTAGCTGTAAGACTCCTACCATTTACTCAATGTAGAACATATTTCTCTTTATACAGCTGAAGTTCTTCTGTTTTCATACTGATATCATTAATTAAAATGAAATTCTACATGCAAAAAATTTTCCATAACCAGAAAATTATTGGTAAAGGACATGCTAGATATCATTCATCCTTTATTAAGAGAACGTGTGAAAAAGAGTAAGTATATAGTTTGTTTACAATATCTTGGTTATATGGGGATATAGTAAATTCATTTAAGTATATAAGTAAATGTCCTGACAACTTTTTTTCCCTGCTCAAATGCTGATTTGTTCCCTATCTGAACCAAGCAATGAAGTGAAGTCTTTTTAAGATTGGCTTATCCTTAGCATCCATTATGTTTTTCCTTTTACCATATAAAAACTATACATTCAATATTAATAAAGGATAATCATACATTGAATAGCCAGAACTAATATCTTTTCTCTAATCACGAATTACTACCTGCTCATTGCAAACTTTAAAAATACAGAAAAAAGTCACTCATAATCCTATCAACTAGAAATAAAGGATCTGATCATTACAGTCTTTGTGACAAATGTATGTATATGGAGAGGGGCGCATGAGTGGGGGATTCACTGAACATGCACAGTGATATAGCAAAGGTGATGTACTATACACAACTTGTGCCTTCTTTTTCACATTTGATACTAGATAATTAACATTTTATCCTATGTATAAATTTAATTGTACAGCATTTATACTAGCTGCATACTAGTATAATGGTATGCATACTATTTATACAGCTGCATACTATTTCACCATTTAGATATACCGTAATTTACTTAACCACTTATTTACTATTGGACAAATAGTAAACACTGTAAAATAGCTTGATGTAAAATAGCTATTTTAGTAAAATAGCTTGATGTAAAATAGCTATTTTAGTAAAATAGCTTGATGTAATGTGGTTTTAGAATACCCAAATCAGTTTTAGAATAGAAAGTGGTCAATGGCATTAACTATGTGTCACTTCAATTCACATATCTATTGACTGAGTTTCAGGAATGGTCATAAATAGAGTATAAGTTCTCAAAATTCTATAGGATTGATAAATCAATAGTTCATTCTTGGTTTCACTCATCAACAGTCTGTATTTCTGGCTTCTGTGGTTTTCCTCATCAGACTGCTGAATGAACATTGTGATTTTTTTCTGCTGAGACATTTTATCTGTGAGGAGGACAAAGACCTGCTCTGCTGGAGGTTGTGGATACTTCAACACCAATAACCCACTCTGAGAGCTGAACCAACTCCAGTGTAAAATTATGTAGCTAAAAATGTTTTTTTGGACTTAATGTATGTTTCATATGTTTTCTCATATATACTTATTCTTTGCCAAATTGTATAATTTTGTAATTTGACTTTCTTTTAATCATTTTAGAGACTATTACTCCTTCATACATTTTTTGGCATAGTGATATTACACCACATTCCAAATACAGTCATATGAATATACAAACAGCATACATATAAACCACTGTGAATTTAGTTCAGAACCATAAAAACCATCTCAGGAGAACTTGTATTAAAATCTATAGTCTAATCATGAGTAATTATAAATTCTGAAGGATCTCTTTATTAAAGGAATGCCCATTTACATATTTAAAATGATTAGCCAACACAGTTGAAAAGGTTAATATCTCACTTTTTACTTTATTGATGTAATCTAATGATAAAACCAGATTTCATTAGTTTATGACTACTATAAAGATAAAACTAGAAATAGTTAATATATTTGTGTTTCTGTGTTCATCGAATCTGAGTTACTCACTAAACACATTTCTGCCAACTCTACTTTAATGACCACGTAATGAAACTGGAGCACCGTGTCGTTGCTTTAAAGGGCCATGCTCTTAAATGTTAAACATTTTCTAAAACTGTGTATTTATAGAATTAATTTGCATAGAAAATTATTCTTAAAAATAGTATAAGTGTAAATAATTATAATTTGAAAGTTACATGGTTGAACTAATGAAGTTTATATATCTGTTGGGGGGTGGGGGGGCCAAAAAGGAGCCACTCACGTAAGAGTACAGTCGTTTTAAAATACTTTCAGGTAAATACTGTTTGAAATTCTGGAGGAGAAAGAGCCTGTCTTGTATCTCTTTATTACCTTTACCTTTTTAATTGCCTCTTTTGCAAACCCACATGAATTATAAACTTGTTCTTTAAAAAAAATCTAGATTTACAAGCCCACATCCCCACACCAACACACTCGTCTTCCTAAAAGTCCTTCCCTTTGTCAGTCTGTACAGGTTTGAAGCCTCTCACGGTGTCTTATCCATAAGAGGCATTTCAACACTAAACGGATGCGACTCCATTCTGTCAGATTTTCATCATGATACAGAATAAATAAAGTCAAAAAAATTCTAACAATATACTTGTGCAAGAAATTCACATTTCTTTAATTCAGATTTTCAGGAACCTCTTAGGTGTATGTAATATACAAAGGTATGAATGGGATGTCTGAAATACCATGCATATTTTAATAAAATATGCAACTTCTTGTTTTTTGAAAAGAAATTTAGAAGACCCAGGCACCTATACAAGCACATCTGACTGTCAACATACAGAGGTTCACCCACAGAGAAAATAAAATTCCCGTATGTTCGAACACATGGCATCGGTGCACTTCCCTTTCCTATTTCATGCCCTGTTCCCATGGCCCTATGTTCTGAATGCAGATTCTGGAGGACAGGACCCCTCCAGCTGCTGATGTGGGGACTTCCAGCACTGCTTCCTGCTTCAAGTTGTCCCTGGAGGTGAGTGTGGGTGCTGGCACCCTCACTGTGCACTACGGACAGACAACACCAGCAGAACGGGACACTTCAAGAACACTGCATAATTTCAGTAAGAGCTGAGAGAGAAGAAACAGACTCTGTTGCTACAAAATGTGTTAGGGAGTGCAACTTTCTTCTATTTTTGGTCAGGAAAAAAGTGGAAATAGAGAATGAGACTGAAAAAGAGAATTTATTGTGATAATGGGTTTACTTTGAACCTGGGAAAATGCTGAGGTATACAAATAGCAGATTTAGAGAAAGTGACAAAACAATTATCTTAACATAACTAACTATTCCATACAGCTAATCATTTAATTTCTTTTTGTTATCTGTATCCTAAAATTAAACTATAAACTCCTTGCAAGTAAAAATTGTGTTTTATTCACTTTAACAAATAAATATTTATGATGTTGATAAAAAACTATTCAAGGACAAATGTTTATACAATCTCAGAGCTCTTGTAAATAAAAAAGTTAATAGACCTATTGTTAATTAGTTATTGATAGCTCTAACCCTTCAAGGAGCAGCTCATTTTATGTCTTGTATGTCAATATAATTGGACAAAATTGGTATAAATGTTACAGTCATAATATTGAAAATATATTTAAAAATAAACCAAAGTATGTTCATAGAAAATTTTATTGCCACTTTTAAATGAGAACATAATCAGCATTTAGGAAAATTGTACACATTTAAAAGTTAGGTTCAAAGTAAATGGTAGATTCTGAGGTTCAATAAACCTTTGTTCTGTAGAGATCTATACAGTAAATACTTGAGGGCTGCAGGACATGCACAGTCTTCACCATGACTGCTCCATCTTCCTTTGCAGCGCAAAAGAAGCCACAGAAAATACACGAATGAATTCGGTGTGCCTGCGTTCCAGTAAAACTTTATTTGCAAAAACAGTCATCCAACCTATGGACTGCAGTAGGCCAACCCTTGAAGTAGTCTGTATACTACTAGAAGTAGCATTAAATGGGATAGAGAACAGACAACTTAATATTGTTATAGGTAAAAAGTATTTGTGACATTTTCTATTTCTTTACTGATTCTTAAAATAAACAAGCAAACAAAAAACTTAAGTAGCACATAAATCTTACCTGGTTAGGTATCCTCAGTGGGGGCCTTGGACCTCCAGGGTACCGAGGTGACATAAAAGGCTATTAAAATAAAACAAAAAAATAAACCAAACCAAACCAAAAGAAAAAAACAGCACAATGTAAAATACAGATCTGAAAATAAACTGCTTAAAAATTTTTAGAACTATACAAAACATAAATCAATTTACTTCCATATGTGATTGTTTTCAGTAGAATAAATGCTTTTAAGAGAAATCACCACTGTATTTTATTTTTTTGTAGAATATCTGCAAAACTTTCCAAGAAAATTGTAAAAATACCAAAAATGACTAAAGTAACTAAAATTTTTAAAATGTGAATTATTATTAAGATAATGATATATAATTGGCAAAACAAATTAAGAAATAGTTTTGAATCTCGGTAAAGACTTCCAAAAGAGGCTTACTGGCAACCTCGTTATACAAATTGGGTTCTAGGTATATACTTCTGACTGAATTATCCAGTTTGGTTATCAATTTCCTTAAATAATTTTAAAGTTGCCAAATTTCTTCACCTTTTCTTTTGTAGCTTTTTTTTAAAATGGTAAAGATATTTCTTTTCCAAGAGTGTGTTTAAAAGAGCTTTAGCTTTACTTAATCAAGGGTTAGTTATGATTCAAAATATATTATAAACTTTAAAGTAGAGATTTCTTCATATATTTTGAGCCTAGCAGATTATGAAGTGTGTATTTTTTATCAAAAAGTGGTCTTATATTAAAACTCTATTCAATGTATTTTGTTAGATGAGTCAGAACTTGCTGAGATGTGTTGGCTGTCAGTCCAAGAACTATCTGAAAAATACCCTAAAAGTGTCCTTTGGTGACCGACTATTCAGTGTCGGGCGGAAGGAGAGTACGTTTGATCAGTCAGATTTGGGCACTGAAATGTCTGAAGTTATTCCTACAATTATTAAAAATTCCATTTTTATTTTCTATAAACAGCAGAAAAAATATAATTGTTTATTTACATCAAAATACACAATGTATTTAAACGTAAGATTATTCCTTACATGGAACATAAGCAAGTTATAAACTCTAAAGTATTGACTATTATAAAGTAAAGAATCAATTTAACAAAGGCTTGAGCAATACAGGGCTATAGTACTTTACGTAATTAAATTCCACATTTAAATGTGTTTTCTAAAAACATTTTTAGATATTAGGCCTGCAGTTCATGGCTACATATATTTCCCAGGGCTATTTTAAAAGTAGCATCTGAAAAATAAAATCCTAAAATATTTATGCTGTAGAGAATTTTTCTTTTTCTTACTTTTTAAAAATTTATTGGGGTGACATTGGTTAGTAAGATCATATAGGTTTCAAGTATACATTTCTATGGTACATGATCTGTATATTGCATTGTGTGCTCAATTATTTTACTATAACATCTTGATCTTGACAAACCAATAAGAGGAACTTTAGAATCAAGTGAACAATTTGGCTTTTGCTCACTGTGGTCTTACATACTAATGTATTCCCAGGAAAACATTTTAAATGAACAGAGAGGGTGGATTATTCAGGTGATAATCATCATCTGATATTAAAAAATGCCTAGTTTACACATATCTGATCAAAGTTGTCTCTCCTTTATCATTTCTGGAACTCTAAACTGGATTAATTAAGTATTTTGCCAACTATTTAGAAATGTATTCCAATGTTCATACTCCCTCTGCTATTTTCCTAATACCAATTTCATTCATGAAACTGGTTTTTCAACTTCTGGACTTATTTTAAAAATTTCATAATTGACTATAGTGTTATTGAAATTTTAGAATGGTTGTCTTTCCTTTGTAAAGAGAAGTTATATGACATACTAATCCAATGCATAATTTCTATTTAGTTTTTGAAACATGGAAAAATAAAAATGGCTTACTAATAATGCTTGTTTATAATAAACTCACTTTGAAATGGAATATGAAGTAGGAATTATCAAAAATATTACCAAATGCCAAATGGTGAGTTAAATATTGAGAAAATTTATTCAGGTGGTTTATTTGAAATAGAGCATTTGAGATTTCATGTTCCACTAAAAGCAAAATCATGCTATGGTATTAGTTTACTATGTGAAATGAACTATGTGAAAACAAGACATCTTGCTGTATCTGCGGCATTGAGAGTGAGTCTGCTTGGATGGGACTGCGGTGCTCTGCCATCTGACTGTGAGACCCATCGCGGCACTGCTGAGAGGAAGAGGCTGTCCATGTGGTAGCTGGGACCCTGCAGGTCCTGCCAGAGTAAGAGTATGAGACAGACAGACAATCCCTTTAGTTATTTCCTCTGTGTGCTTTCCAAGATGTTCAAATTTTTGGTTTATTTTTTTCTTTTGGCAGAGAAAAAAGAAGACAAACCACTTACTAATTCCCATTGATTATATACAGTTATAGCAAAAATGACAAAAACCTGGTTAATTTAGGTTTAAAAATCTACTACTTTTACGTAAAATATAAAGATTGCTATAGGTAAAACATTTTTAATATTAAGTTAGTGCTGTTATAACATAAGCTTTTAACACCCAGACTGATCCTTACATATAGTTATCTAGTTAAACACCTAGGTTCTCAACTGCCTACTTGTTGAGTTACAGACACAGCAACAGAACCCATAGTTTGCATATTAGCAACTGAGAGTATTCTACACAAATATTTGTACTTCACTATTCAGAAGCCAATTTGCTTTCAAATGTAATGTCAGATATTAAAACAAATTTAAATTATTTATGGTAAAATATGAATCTAAGTGATTACCTACTAATTATATAAGACATCTATTGACAGACATCTGAGTACTCTCTGCATTAAAAACCTCGGAAGAACATGTTCTTCATATTTGGGATAAATTTTTTTTAATAGTTTGGGCATCAAAATAATTTGCATAAAGTTGTCATGAGGTGAATGTGTATTTTAACTGGAAAAGCCTTCCCCTTGAAAAAGTTATTTATACTGTGTGTACAGAAAACATTTGACTGGGAGTCAAAGATCTGGATTCTAGCTTTTGTACCACCACTAATCAATAAGCAGATGAGCCCTGAGAAAATAACCTTTCAGGGCTTGAGTTTTCTCAACCTTAAAATGAGGGAGTTGGATTAGAGGATCTCTAAAGTTCTTTAGAAAAATGAACAAAGTAAAACCCCATGATTCTGTGTTGATTATTCCCAGCATTACCTTTAAGTATAGATATTAATATGTTGTAAATATCTGTAAGTGTCTGAAGTGTGTGGGGGTGGACTGGGGGGGTCATGTCATAAGCATGTGCTCCTAAGGCACAAACCACCTTTACTGAGGAGTTGCAGAAACTTCTTTCCATACTTTCCAGAGAAAAAAGGAAACCCCAGTTAAAGGAAAAAATACTCTAACAATTATGCTTTGTTCAGATCAAAGGTTAATAGGGAGAATTACAAAAGTTGCACTTATTGATTAAAATGTATCCTAGAGATTAGTTCATTTAGCAAATATTTATTAAACACCTACAAAGGCAGTGTTTCAGTGGTTGGACATATCAGTAAATAAAGCCGATAAAGATCATCCTGCTGCTTAGGATTTTTCAAGGTTCACAGTCTTGTAATTAATAGAAGAAACAATTTTCTGGGAAAATTGTTTTCTACTATCAGTCCTCTAATCTGGAACAAATAGAATGTTCTCTTCACCAAATGGCAAGAATCAATGAAAACTCAAAGAAAATAGTATTTCAATCTGGTGCCTTCCCTCAAAAGTGGTTATTACATCATCCCTGTTTGATAGAACACGCGGTGCTATGAATGACGCAAATCAAAGTTCTAATGGGGACAACTGTAAATGAACAACAATAAAAAGAAAATAAAAAAATAAAAGGTTTTCCAAATTAGACAAAACTCATGGAGTAAGATTCTTTATGACATGATAAATTGAGTAGTATAGTTAGCACTGTGACATGTGGAAATTACATTTACAGGCATAAATTCTTATTTCTACATGTTTTGGTTGTCTGCCCAGAATGAATGGGATAAACCAGAGTGAACAAAACTATGTACAAAGCCAGAAAAATCAATAAATATTTGATGACTAAATGAAAGGAAAAAAGAGAAATACAAATCACGTGTCCATCTCATTTCCTCCAAATGGTTTTTTAGAGAAACATAACATTTATAATCACAATTTATTTCAGCATAAATATCACTCAGTTTAAAAAGATTATTATTTCCCATTATATCAAGAATTATTCACAGACTTTTAAACTTCTGATTTTCCTAATTTTTCTTTTTTAAAGAGAGAGTTTTCCTTTCTTCTTTGCCCCTTCTACTGGTGGAAAGCAGTAGTCTCCCTCTTATTTGGTCTCTCAAAAGCCCTTAGTGTTTTATCTCAATTCCCTAAGAATCAGAAATAACCGGCTCTTTCCTCACACTAGTTGAAGGTCCATCTCCCAGTCTAATTCTCTTCTTCTCCGAAGATCCCAGACCTCCCTGCCCAGGGAATGGTTGTATAAATAATTTAGCAGTACTAAAATTACTAGTGATAAGAACCACTTTAAGCCCTCACTTCTTTTACTATATACAAGATCAAACTGGACATCTTAAATGATACATTGCTCAAATGTCATCAGCTTTGTTAATATTCTCTAACATTAATAGTTCCAAAAACCCTACAAATATGATTTATCAACACCAGAATATTCACTTTTTCTTGAGATTACTTTGTACTCTCTCTGCCAAGTACTTCTATTAATCCTCCAGGGGCCAGTTTCTGTTATTTCCTCTTTAAAGAATCTTTCTAGTCTCCTTTCCCTCTACTTCCTTAGCACTGTTCATACCATGATCATGGAGGATTTAGTACACTGCAGTACAACGTGGGCCTTGATTTGCAGAAAACCCACTTCAGAGGAAAGAACAAAAACTGTTCAGAGCAAGTCATTACCTTAATGTGAGGTTGCAAAATGTAATTTATCCATAAAATAAAATTGGTAACTCCTAGAATCCTTAAAATTGATATAGCAACATATAAATCACCTTACATCTTATTTTAAATATTTCAACATGGTTTTTAGAAACTCTTTAAATCTTAGTCTTTAAGAA